AATGAGAAAAAGATACAAAGAGTTGAAAATTCAACAGCTTAGCCGAAATTATGGGGGTGGCCCGGTGGGGAAGCCTCAACTAAGTTTTTAATAGTTGCAACTAACCAAACTCCTACGTGTAGCGACTGGAGTGAGATCTAACTTTCTAATCATTTATGCGATTTAAGTGAGATCCAACTTTTTATTCATTAAAGAGATTCAGACAGTTCGAGAGAATCACCACAGCTTTTCTCTTTCTCGATAATTCATATACAATATTTCTAACACAGGGTTAGGTTTGCCCTTACTAGAAAAAATTAAAATTAAAATAAAATACCTAACAACATATCTTCACAAACCAAGAACGGTAAGATCGTCTATTTCATTTCTTATTATTTACTTGAAACCTTTTAAATAAAAAAGTTAAATGATCATACAAAATTCGATTTGAGAATGAAAACTATCAACTGCTAAGAAATTTAAAAAAAAAAAATAATAATGTTAGTACTAGAATATTTGTTTAGAAATAATATATAAAACCTTTGAAAAAGCTGAAAGAAGCATAACTCCATATGCAAAGAGGACCACATAAAATTGTAGTGGTAGCTAGTTATTGACAAAATTATTACAAAATAGCAAGTAAAATGTAAATAAATAAAGCAAACTTTATTGATTATCAAGTCAATTCTTTGGAGTTATAAATGCCAATTTTTGTTAAATATGATTTTTTTTTTCTTTTTTTAAATAGCAAGGGTAACGGAGTGTAACCAACTTTGTATTATATGCATGGCGTGTCTAGAAAGAAAGGTACTTTTTTTTTTAATTAATTTGTATTTATTTAAAAATGAGATTAATTAGATAATTAATATAACATCATTCCAAAAGTTATTACAGCTATAAATTAATAATGCTGGGACAATATAAATTAGAGTAGTACCACGCCAACAACTTTTTCTCATAAATATTCTCTCACAACTCTGACGTGACAGCTCGTAATTGGTCAATTTACAATTAATTAGTAAGACCCATGTAATACTTATGTGAGATCTATTATCAACTGACCAATTGTGAACTATCATGTCAGGATTGTGAGATAAAGTTTGTGAGAAATGATTGTTAGTGTAGTATTATACTATTATTCAATAAATTATATTAACTAGAAAAAGGTATTAATTAAGCAATAAATTAATAAATTATTAATGTATACTATTCGAGGAACATACTTAATCAACTAAAAATTCATTGTACTTTACCATCTAATTAATTGAATACGAATTAATCTACTAAATATACATTAAAGCATTAATTTAAATTCATTGTAGTTCCATGGTATATAATTGCATTAGTTTAGTTAAATGTACTCAACAAAAAAATATCCGTGCATAATTTAATTGAATTAAATGTATCCATTCTACTTGATATCTTTAATTTAATTAAATGTATTCAACAAAATTAAATTAAAAATAATCTTTATATAAACAAATAAAAAGTCTTATTATATTTCATAAATACAATGACTTCCATCTAAAAAGTGTTAGTAAATCAACCATTCAAGTTTAGAAGAAATCGTTGCTAATATCACTGAAAATCCTGTTGTTAATGAATTTGGGGATGATACAATAACTTTGGAATCTGTTATGCGCAAGGAAGCACTCAAAGCATCAACAACACTTTATAATTTTTATTGCAATTTGAAAATTCAACCCCAAAACTTTTAGATGCAATGAGAAAAATTAGAGATGAGATCCAACAAGATTTAAATTTCAATAAAAAAACAAGTAATAATGGAGTCATATTTCAATAAAATATCATAGTTAATTAGCAAATTATTTATTTATGATATGAATGGGACCACAGAGTTATGTAAGATTTTCCAGAAAAATATTATTTTATTAATTTATCGACATTATTAATTTAACATAATAGCTCAAGTCGGGACCATAAGAAATTATTATATAATAGAGGTTATTAATTTATCGAGTATAAATTTATAGAGGTTATACTATTTATGACTATTGAAATTAATTGATAAATAATAATATTTTTTTTCTTAATCAAATTAATAGTTTTGGATGTGTTGTTTCAGTATTTTGAATAGTATTTTTGAAAAAGTAAGAGTTGGGTGATAATAACGAGGTATTATTTAAAAATTAACAAAAACACCTCTTATGTTTGTTAATTTACTAAACACCCCTGTAATAAAAACATTAAAAATTATAAAAACACCCTCACCCACCCATTAAATACCGACAGCTGGCCACCACTGTCGGAGGGTGGCTGGAGTCGCCATATCAATGCACGATCGGCTAGGCATGGTAATGTTCCCCAGGATTTCGGGGACCCGTCCCGCCCCGCCCCATATGGGGCAGGGAAGCCCCGGTTTTTTCGGGGATAGGGGCGGGGGTGGGGGGTGTTTTAATCCCCGTCCTTGGGGATGGGGCGGGGGTGGGTGATGCATTTCCCCCCGACCCGCCCCGTATATAATATATAAAATAAAAAAAATGTATATATATATTTACTTTTCACTAATATCCCTATATTTCACCTAATTACACAATTATCCTATCTATATAAACCCCTATTTTCCTAATTTCCCTCACCCTAAACAATTGAACAAGAACAAACCCTGACCCATATTTATGTATAATTGATTATGTTTAAACGATTAATTTAAGTGTTTGTCATGTGGACGAGAATTAACTATTGTGTTTGATAATGCTCAAATTAATTTATGTTTATATAAAATTAATAGGGCGGGGACGGGCCTACAACATTCCCCTTTGGGGCGGGGAAGGCGAATTCCTTTCATCCCTGTAACGGGATGGGGCGGGGGTGGGGAATGATTTTGAGGGTGGGGACGGGTACGGTGAATGAGATCCCCGCCCCATTGTCATGCCTACGATCGGCTGGATCTGGCCGATTGTGTATCGAGATGGCCTTTTCCAGTTAGATCCATCATGGATGTGGCCAGAAAAGGCTAGATCTGGCCATTAACAGCCAAATCTTGGCCATCGTTGACGACTAGGTACAACCAAAGATCTAGCATTTTTCGGCCAGATTCACAATGGATCTGATCAAAAAAGGTTATATCGACACACTACCAGCCAGATCCAGTCGGCAGTGTGTCATTATACTAGATTTCAACCACCTTTCGGCGGTGAAATTTTTGTTATTTATGAAATATTACTGTTGTTATTTGATTACACCTTAGGGGGTGAGAAAAACACCATTGTGAAATTACAAAGACTATATGCTCTATGTATCTAGTCCCACAGAAAGTTTTAGTGCAGACTTACAAGGAAAGCCATTAGAAAAAAACTTAATTGTATAATATTAGTTCTCATTTCATAATATCTTATATAAATTTCTGATGTGAGTTATTATTACTGATATAGATATAGAGACTTTGGGCTTGTTCTGTGTAAGTTGAAAAAGGCTGGTCTGTTCTGGTCCTGGTTTGGGCTTATTTTTGCTTTGTAAATACGTGTTTCTTTTTGTTCGGGCCTTGTTTTTTGTTAGGCCTGTTGTAAAGGATCGTACATCCTTAGCTTTCTTTGCTTCCTCTTGGGTCTGTCCAAGGTAAGTGGGCTATGGGGGTTTTCTTTCTTTCCTCAGTATTCTTTCGTTTTTGTTATATAATTATCGGGTTTATCAAAAAATTAATTAACACTTAAAGAATAAAAAGTTAACATTCTAATGGACTTAATTAGAAAAATTTAAATGTCTCAAGGAACGGAAAATGTTAACTCACGTGTTCCAGATCTACCCTTATGAAGAAAGTATGTTTACGCAAGGAATCGTCGTGTCTTGGTTTCATTTCATCCATCTGTTTTTATTTTTATTATTTGAACCCACGAAATTGCATTCTTACTTTTATCCCAGTTTGAGGGTTCAAGTATTTAGATAGGATAAAGATATCTTAAAATTTGTAGAAATAACAAAATTTTTATTTTATTAATTAAAACTTATTAAATTGTTTATCTTTTAAGAATATTTGTTATTTTAAAAACATAGACTCAAGATATATAAGGCTGTGTTTATTTTATTATTTAGAGTAGTATTTTTAAAAAATTTGAGTTTAGCTGTTATTATAAAGTAATATTTGAAAATTAACAAAATCACCATTTGGATTTGTTAATTTACTAAACACCCTAAACAATAAAAAGTTTATAAATTGATAAAAACACCTCCACTCACCCAAATTTGTCAGATTTAGGCCACCACCGTCGGAAAGTGGTCGAAATCTAGCGTAATGGTACACAACCGGCTGGATCTGGTCAGTCGTGCGTCGATATGACCTATTTTGGCTAGATCCACCGTGGATCTAATTGAAAAATGTCAGATCTATGACCAGATTTGACCAGATCCAGCCAGTAGAGCGCCATTATGCCAGATTCCGATCACCTTCCACTGGTGATGATTAGAATCTAGCAAATGTGGGTGGGTGTGGGTGTTCTTTTTTTAATTTATAAACTTTTTTTGTTGGGGGTATTTAATTAAATTAATAAACTTATGGGGGTTTAAAATAGTTGAATATAATATGATTGAATTTTGAGAATAGGGAAACAAATATGCAATTTGGTAGGATAGGAATAGGAAAAGTAAAACAAATAACCCCTAATTTGTTAGTACAGTAGATATAGCTATTAGTAAAGAATAATATTATATCAACAACTCTCTCTCACAAACTTTCTCTCACAACCCTAAAGTAATAACTCGTAATTGGTCAGTTCATAACGGGTCTCACATAGGTTATGCATGGGCCTCATTGATTAATTATAAACTGATCAATTACGAACTGTCATGTCATAATTGTGAGAAAAGATTTGTAAAAAATGATTATTGGTGTAGTATTACTCATTAATAAAATAGTTTATTTACTCGTTTATGTATTTCTTGTATTCTAAGAACAAGAACTCGGTGAAAGACAGAAAGAGACGTGGAGCGATATCTTACCCAGGGACAATCATGTAAATTCAATAATAGGACTTCTAAAAAATAAAAAAGAAAGAAAGAAAGAAAGAAAGAAGTTGGCTTTGGAATGAAAATGGAGGACGAAGAAGAAGGTCCACCTCTAGCCGTTCAAATTGACGAAACTGCAGAAGAACCCTCTTACTCTTCCAACAACGCTGACGTTTCAGTGGGCGTTACCGTCATCACTGGCTTTCTTGGAGCTGGAAAATCCACTGTAACTTAAACCCTTATTTTTCTATTTTTTTTTCTTAATTTGATTTTATTTCTACTTTATGTCAAATACCTGTCTAGTGCTTTTTTTTTTTTGGTACAGATATTGGATTATAGTTAGTGTCAATATGGGACGAAAAGATGCTGAAGTTTAATGATTATTACAGATTATGAAGTTGTTCTTTAGTGAAATTATTCAATATCCCCTAAAATAATATAATTTGTAGTGTCAGATGAAATGGGATGTGCCACAAAGTTCATGTACAAGGACAGTTTAAACTCTTCAAGCTTGATGAAGATTTTAAAGAGATTAAGATTAGATCACTCATAATGTATGGGAACACTGAAAGTTATTGGTTGAATGTACAGAAGAGGCAGATACGTATGCATATTGGAACAATGATTAACTTTCGAATGCAAAGAACTATGGTTTTAATGTAAATTTATTATTGGGTCAGAAACTTATTTTAGTTTGCAAGAAATTTCTCAACTGACAATTGGGGCTATGAATTTCAGCTTGTTAACTATATCTTGAATGCACAACATGGAAAACGAATTGCTGTCATATTAAATGAGTTTGGTGAAGAGATTGGAGTGGAAAGGGCGATGATTAATGATGGAGAAGGTGGGGTACTTGTTGAGGAATGGGTTGAATTGGCAAATGGGTGCATTTGTTGCACTGTTAAGCATAGTTTAGTTCAAGCACTGGAGCAACTTGTACAGATGAAAGAAAGGTAACATTGTTTTTTGAAGTCTTTTTGGGAATCAGCTTATGGGAAGTTTGATATTTCACATGGAGAAATTATATGTTAGTGGAAATTAATGATCTAAGAATGGTTCTTTTGTTGTGTGTAGACTTGATCATATATTGCTCGAAACCACTGGGTTAGCGAACCCTGCTCCTCTGGCATCTATTCTATGGTTAGATGATCAACTGGAATCAGCTGTCAGGCTTGATTCTATTATCACTGTAAGTAAGATTACGATCTTTGACTAATTTTAATAAATTGTCTGTATGATTTAGCATTTGAATTGTACTTATTTTAATCATTCAATCGTTAAGCTGTTATATTATGTTTGCCTGCATTCCAGTTTCTCATTTCATATGATGGAGACTAAGGATATAGCTTATGAGCTTTTCCTATGTTTTTCCCAAAGTTTCATCAAATTATCTACTTCCATGGCTGTAATAGCTTTTCTTCCATTTAGGGTTGGGAGTTGATTAATATGATGCATATTTCTTTACTGTTCTACTTCCTTCTTGTAGTATGAGACAATCTTATCATGTTTTATGTTACTTTCTGTTTATCTTCTTGGTATATGAGTGGATAATAGTAATTTATGATTCATAAAAATTGAGCTTTTGATGTTTTGTTTTTTCTTTTCTATCATATGTTCTTCCGTCAGTTACCTCAGGTTTTCATCTCAGTTCTTTCTATTAATAAGTTTTTGCTTAATAGGTTGTGGATGCCAAAAACCTTCTTTTCCAGATAAACAAATATCGTGATGTATCTTCATTTCCTGAAGCAATTCATCAAATAGCATTTGCGGTAAGTCTCATATTATTACTTAATGACTGATTTAGTTGCAAAATAGCCTTTCGTTTTCTGGAAGATCGTTTTTCACTTTGTTATTTTCATTGGATATAATTTAATATCAGTCAGTTGAGCATATCAGAGGCTTATAAGATTCATTTTTCTTGTAGGATGCTATAATTCTTAACAAGATTGATTTAGTTTCTCAAGAGGCTTCCGAAGATGCTCTTGACAAATTGGAGAAGGAGATACATGAAATTAACTCTCTTGCTCAAATTATTCGCTCTGCCCGGTGTCAAGTTGACTTGTCTAAGATATTGAACTGCCGAGCATATGATGCTACGGTTAGTAATACAACTTTTTATTTTTATTTTATAGGTACATCTTGTCAGCTTGTGCCGACTTTTGTTTTAACTGTTGTCACTCAAAGCAATTTGTCTTTTCTCTCAGCACATCACTCATCTACAGGCACTGTTGGAAGAGCACCAATCTGTGCCTTCTTCAGATCTTCATGACAGTGACGTGCGAACTTTGTGCATTTGTGAACCAGGGGCTGTTGATCTTGATAAGGTAATCTCCAAAATAGCTATGGAAAATTTGGTCTTGCTCTACCAAGTATTGTAATTTGTTATTAGTTGCTCTTATATTCACTAGTTTGGAAAGAGTATTCAGTAGGTACTCTTATATTCACTGCTCTGGAAAAATAATTACAGTTTCCTCGAGTGTATACTTAATAATTGTTGGAATATATGTATTCCATCTGAATCAAACAATCACATCCTTGTTGCTTGTATAACCTTGTTGTTCATTATTGTATATGTATTCTCTCTTTTTTCATTTTTCTTTTTCCAATATATTGAAAATTCCTACCTTATTATAGTGTATTATTTTGTATGTAAAATCCATATTTATTTTGATAATGTCTGGTATTCTGTGTATTCATAGGTTCGCTTGTGGCTTGAGGAGATTCTTTGGGATAAGAAATATGGCATGGATGTGTACCGTTGCAAAGGTGTTTTAAATCTTCAAAACTCCGATCAACTACATACTTTGCAGGTAATATTTGCAATTTTTGCTTTGTTTACTTATGATGCAGCTTTGGATTTAGAGTAGACTGTTCTTTTTTTTCTCTCTGACATTTATGTCCCCATTTACTGACTCCTTCCCTAGCTTCCCTCTTTTCCTCTGTTTCTTGGATATTTGTGTTTTCTCCTGGATGGGTAGCTACTTTTGCAACCTGATAATCATAATACTCCGTAACTTAACTGCCCCTCAAGTGAATTTTTTCAGAGAATGTTAAAAACCTGAGGTAGCAGCGCACATGGGATAGCAAGCACATGAATTATGTACAAATGCTAGCTCTGTGCCATTATCAACTCAGCTGAGAGACCATTAAATTTTTTTATTATATTTCAAATCAAAATTTTTAAATTACAACAGAAAGTATTTCCATCTTCTGTGAACTTAAAATTTTCAAGAGTTCAAACCATTTCTATCCTACTCTATCTTGTAAAATGATGCTTGGGCCAACTAAAGAGTAGGTAATGTTGAGACTCATTGTCTATCTGATGTTTTCCAGAACAGGGGAGGAAATGAATTTGTAGGTCACTAACTCACTGTGGTGTTTTCATTGCAATTGTTCTCCCAAACGTTAATCACATATCTCAAATAAGGGTGGTGAACTCATTAAGTGAGAGGTTGCAATAAACGGTTCCCTTATACAAGTTTTCGTACAGATCTCAAATTTTAAAGAATGGGTCTGGCATTTAATAAAATTTCTATTTTCTAATTGTCTATTGCAGCTTTTTATTAGTACTTCTTTTCCCATTGTATGCAACTTCGTTTTGTTTGTTTGTTTTGCTTTTTATCTGTTGTTAAAGCTACTTTGTTCTCAGCAATTGATTAATTGCATGTGGTCTCATCACCAAGTTGTTTGTTCTTGAACATTTGGCAGGCTGTAAGGGAGATTTACGAGATTGTTCCAGCTCGAAAATGGAGAACAGAAGAGAATCAGATGAATAAGATTGTGTTTATAGGTAATGTTCTCAACACTTTTGCACTATTTTCAGCTATACCTTTTCTAAAAACCAGTTGGAGCTCCTTATGCTTTGTTTTTGTTCTACTGAAATTGGTTGGTTTTCAATGTTGCAGGGCTTCATTTGAATAAAGATGTTCTTACTGATTCCTTCAGAACTTGCGTATTATCAACTACTTAAAGTTGTAATTTTGGTTAACTTGTGATTAAGTTCAGACAAGGTGTGAATTGCCGCCTTGTAGCTTTGTTTTATTATTATTATTATTATAAATTTGTTTAATTGTATTTTTTGTTTTTAAATCTTATAAATACAGATAAGTTTTGAATGTAGATGTCCTATATTTTAATCATGCTAGTAATTTTACACTTAAATTTCACAAGTGCATTCATCATTTTTCATGAGATTGTAAGCCAACCCAGATATATAATATGTAATCCATAGCTGGTTACCCAATAATAAAAGAGCAAAAGAAGGAATTATGTGTTTTTGATTTTGAGTCTCTCTACGCCATTGAAGTTATTGAAGTTTTTATCTGGTCGATAATTTAAGATTTGAAAGATTAATTGAGGTATATACAAGTTGGTCCGAATATTTTTTATTAAAAAAAAAATGATATATATAACAATTACAATCTATATATAATATTTACGAATATACAACTTTTAACTTAAAATATTGTAAAATGTTAAAAATTAAAATTAAAAATACCCTACCCTAATAAAAACTCCACACAAGGACACGTGTCTAAAAACTATAGCAAATTAGCAACACAAACAATTAAAGCCGCAGCTCACCGCCAAGCCCTCGTCGACAAAGGACGCCGCCGAGAATATTGTAAAATGTTAAAAATTAAAATTAAAAGTAACCTACTCTAATAAGACTCCACAAAAGAACCCGACTCTAAAAACTCTAGCAAGACAAAAATTAACCCCGCAGCTCACCGCCAAGCCCTTGTCGACAAAGGACGCCACCGAGACGTCTCCAACCTCTGACGTCCCTCCACCGAGATTTCCGGCGGATTCGCTGTCTAGCTGCTCCAGCAACCGCCGATTCAAGCTTCAACAGGTTTTTCTTTTTGGTTTTTCAATTTTTATTTTTAAATTAAAATATCTATTCATTTAATATTCTTTTGATAGGATTTTTGTTTGTTTGTGAAATCTCTGAACTGGGGACTGAACCCGGGACTTTCACTGATAATGTTAGACCTAAGTCTTCGTAAACCCGGAGTAATTAGTAATTGTAAAAATTTGTCAATACGCATTGCTCACTGAGGTTGGTATATGATCCATAATCTCTCTACTCACTCACTTTTACTTTTCAGATTAGCAGTTGGAGCAGTTGGAGAGCAAAGTTCAGGTACACTGGCATGCTAATATTATACGATTTTGATTATTATTGATTGTTTTGAGTTGTTTTTGTAATATCATTTTTATTCTTTGTTTCTGCCAAATTCGATTGCTCTTATTGTTCTTGTACAAATCGAACTCTTTAATAAAACTTATCATGATGTGGTCATGGGTGGGAACCTTATTTTCTGAGTTAATTCAGTACTTTTGTTGCATGATCAAGAATGTATAAGATGCTTATGTTAACTAACTCTGTTCAAAGAGCGTGAAATATCGAATGGCTACCCTTTTTTTCCACTGGGCAGCAAGATTTGGGGATGTATGCCATAGAAGGCATTTTTTAGGTTTTATTCTACCGTTGTTAATGGCCTATCAAATTTGCGAACCATTTCTCCGCGGCTTGTTGGATGCAATGAATGATTTCTACAACTTTACATCATGTTATTTGCGTGTTTTCTTTTCTCTTACTGTCATTTTATTTGCAAGTGTAAATTGTAAAATAGATAATGAGATGCCCCGAGCGAAAGTTGATTTGATAAGCTTGAGTTATAACTCTGGTCTTGTATACCCTTTATAAAATGGTATCATTGCTAGAGTTATATACAATATTCCCGATTTCAAATCTTTATGTTTCTCTTATGATTTTGTATTTATGATTTGAAAATAACTATGTTTTACTGTTTACATATTTAACTGATCAGAGGCTAACAATTGTTGACAATGTGTTTCCCTTGAATCTCAGGGTCAATTTTTGCAAGAATGGCATTGGTTGTAGTTTGTGGGCAACCAAGTAGTGGGAAGTCAATGGCTGCAATGTGCCTTGCCGAAGCTCTAAAAGGATCAGAGTTAAAAGAGACAGTCAGGATAATTGATGAAACTTCCTTTCATCTTGATCGCAATCAGAGCTATGCCAATATGACTGCAGAGAAGAATTTACGCGGAGTGCTCCGGTCTGAAGTTGATAGATCTGTGTCGAAAGATAATATAATCATTGTAGATTCTTTGAACAGTATCAAGGGTTACAGATATGAACTATGGTGTTTGGCTCGTGGTGCTGGAATAAGATACTGTGTGCTTTACTGTGATGTGGAAGAAAATGATTGTAGAAAATGGAATGAGGAACGACGGGAGAAAGGAGAACCCACATATGATGATAATATACTTGAAGATCTTGTAAGAAGGTTTGAGAAACCTGATAGAAGAAATCGATGGGATTCACCTTTGTTTGAATTATGGCCACAGAGAGATGGAATTGAGAAATCTTCTGCTGCCATTTTGGATGCTGTTTCCTATTTGACAAAAAAGGTGGATTCAAAAACGCGGCATGTTAAGATTTTACAGCCAACCATTGCAACACAAAATACACGATTTTCAGAGGCAAATTCCCTGTATGAATTGGATAGAGCAACACAAGAAGTGACTAATGCTATTGTAGAAGCACAATCGAAGGCACTTGGAGGGCCTCTTAACGGGATATCTCTTGGCCAGGGGTTGCCTACTATCAATATTTCAAGGTCAGTTGGGCTGCCTGAGCTACGTAGACTACGAAGAACATTCATTAAATTGACAGGGCAAACCAGTTTGAGTGGACCACCACCACCCTCGGATTCTGACAGTGCAAAGAGGATGTTTGTGGACTACTTGAACAGGGAACTAGAAACCACTGCTTGAATGAGCATAAATATCATTGTTCTATTGAAATATCGTTGGGATTAGTCAAATGTGAGGGCCATTCTAGGTTTTGTCCAATATCGAATGGTGTTGTACCAACAAATAATGAAAGTGGAGGTTTGCCTTCTAAAAAGGGAAATACTACACTTACAACTCAATCTTACAAACTTTCTTTCACAATTTCAATGTGATAGCTCGCATAGGTCTTGTTTGTTCAATTACGAACTGATCAATTGTGAACTATTATGTCAGGATTGTGAAAGAAAGTTTAGAAAATTAGGGTGTGAGTCAATCTTTTATTGTTTTAAAAATAGGTCACTTTGTTTTTAGTATCTATTGTATCAAAGAAAGTTAGTGTGGTTTGCTAAAGGAATCACTGTAACATTTGTTCAATGGTAATTTATTTGGATTGTTTCAAATTGTCAATACATGTTTTTGGTGACTTAACATTTCGAAATCTTCTCTCTGTAGATTCCGTTGGATTAAAAGATTTGTGATTAAAGCAATTTCTGAGAAGCCTGTGTTTGTCAATTGTCAGTCCACAGTTAAGAGATAAAATCCAATCATGGATGGCCTTTTCAGGTGTAGAAGCACCAGCTTGTGGGTTAGCCCTTACTCCTAGATAACCGACACTTGAAAACTATTATCGCTACTCTGGATCTGGAGCCATAAGCTGGCAAAAGCCATGGAATCAAATCCTGTTATTGCTCAAAAACTTGTTGAATTCTGCCATTCTCTTATATTTTACAAGTTGGCTTCGAGTTAGCCCATCAAACCAAACCAACCCCACTAAACAATAATTAAATTGATGGTTAAGTCATCACCTACAGAATCCCCTGCTTTAAATAACCAAAAATAATAAAAAAGGGAAACTTATGCTCCACTCTAACATGATGCAACATTCTCTACCTGCTTAAACACAAAACAACAATAAGAGAGCGAGAGAGTTGGCTCCCCTCCAGTTCTGATAGCCTCATCATAAATCAACAATGGCCTCCATTTGGATCTTGTCTCTGCTGGTTAAATACAACTAATCATGGGCTTCATATACTCCTCCAAAACAAAGGGCTAAATCTTAACCACCCATTCCAACATCTACACTAAATCCAAGGCTTAACCGAGCTGTTACCCACTAGATTTGAACCACATGTCATCGTAGCACATCCCACGTGGACTTAGAATAATTTTAGGATTGCGTAGCGGATTTGCTAGAACTAACAAATTTAATACTGTGCCGCTAAAAGGAAAAAGTTTACACAACATCCAGTTGATTAATTACAATTATTCCCCCTGTTATGTTGTAGAGCAAAAATGATTTGCCTGTTTGTTCTGTCTAAAAGTTAGAGCTTTTGTTTATTTATAGATTAGATCTATCAATTTTAATAGTGTAGACCTCTGAAACCAAAACAATTACACAAACCCCAAAACTAGAATCCGATAAAAACTGGACTCTTAAAACAATAATACCTCTGTGTTATGTTGGTTTTGCTTTGAATCTCCATTCTTCAGCACCCTTTAATTGGTATGTCCTCCAAACCCTAATCTTGTTTCCATTTTTGCATGTGCATTTGATCTGACATTTGTATCTGGGTTTCCTTTTTGAGATCTGGGTTTGTTTTAGTTGATTAAAAATGGAAAGTTTTGCATTTTCGTCCTTTTTGTTGCGAAAAGGAAATGGAATTTTGTAGGAATCACATTGAGTCTCGTGGAATCTAATTAAATCGTGATATGTGATATTGATTCGGTGGATCTTTGACTTTTTTTGTTATTGCAGGTTGATCTGGTGGTTTGTTGGCTACGTGCTGCTGGAGACTAGTTATTTTTCTACAATTGGCAATACTATTTTTTTTTTAACAATCAAGCGTTACGTTTCGGGAGAATTCAACATTTCTTTTTTGGGTTTGATTTGGACTTTTAGTTCTTCTACATTGTGTAGTTGTGTGAATTGTTGATCCATAATTCGGATTGAAACTTGGTTGTCGTGATCTAATTTTCTCGGTTTTTAGTAATGTGAGTGTGATGCTACAATCACGTGAGAAACATCTGTTTTTGTTATTGGAAGAAAAGTGTTGTGGAGAAAATAGGTGTTGTACGGACTAATGGAAACGTATCTAGAAGCTTATATTTTATGACATGTTGTGGTATTGGTTGTTCTTGGAGATTTATGTGAAAGGGATTGATTATTTTAGTGCACTTTGAAACTCAAATTGTTAAAGAGTGTAGCAAAATTTGGACATGAGAAGCTCCTGGTTCAATAAACTTTCTGTCATTTTTGGGCCTAGACCGCCGGTCAGTTGGTTGTTATTATGCCTTATTAGTATTGTTGCACTTGTTGCCGTCTTAGGATCATCATCTTCAAATACCTTTGACTCTTTAACTTCAACTCAAAAACCTGATATTTATACAAACTATCGAAGGCTAAAGGAGCAAGCCGCAGTTGATTACTTGGAGCTGAGAACTCTCTCTTTGGGTGCGAGTCGGCCGAAGGAGTATGACCTTTGTGGCAAAGAGAGAGAAAATTTTATACCGTGTTACAATGTGTCAGCAAATTTGTTGGCTGGATTTCGAGATGGAGAGGAGTTTGATCGGCATTGTGAAATTTCTAGACTAGGAGAGCGGTGCTTGGTACGCCCTCCAAAGGATTATAAGATCCCCTTAAGGTGGCCCGCTGGCAGGGATGTGATATGGAGCGGAAATGTGAAAATTACAAAAGACCAATTTCTTTCGTCTGGAAGTATGACGAAAAGGTACTATTTAATTAATGCTAGATGTGATTCTGTGGTGGTCATAAGCATTAAATCTACCTCCTTTAGCTCCATAATTTGCTCAAACTGTCCACAAACCATTGCTATTTGCTTTTATCATTATGTTATTATTTTTTCTATTTCTTGGTTTTGTAAGTTATGATGATTGCATTTATAAATTTTAATAATCTTTCCAGATTGATGTTACTGGAAGAGAATCAAATCGCATTTCATTCCGAGGATGGATTGATTTTTGATGGTGTCAAAGATTACTCTCGCCAAGTCGCTGAGATGATAGGGTTGGGAAGTGACTCCGAATTTGGTCAAGCTGGTGTAAGTTTTCTTTGTACATCATGGTTATTATGGAATAATTCTTTCTATATTGGACAAAATTAAATTTGAAAGAGTTTGAATTTTTTGAATAGATACTTTGTTGTTTTTTTAAGTCTAACCATAACAAAGTTGGAGTATGGTTTGCCTCTTTTTCTGTTTTGAAAGGCGAATAGAATTATCTGTTGCATCTTAGCTTTAAGCCTTATATGTCAACTGCAGGTTCACACCATACTCGATATTGGTTGTGGATTTGGAAGCTTTGCAGCTCATTTAGTGTCACTGAAGCTAATGGCTATTTGTGTTGCGGCATATGAAGCCACTGGCAGTCAAGTCCAATTGGCCCTTGAGAGAGGTCTTCCAGCTATGATTGGGAATTTCATCTCAAGACAACTTCCATATCCATCATTGTCATTTGACATGGTTCATTGTGCTCAGTGCGGTATCAATTGGGACCAAAAAGGTAAATCTTGAGCTTTTCGATGACTCATGTTTTCTACTATTTGTTGACGTGCTTCCTTTTGGGTGATCCAATAGCAGAGTTTAATTGTAGGAAATCAATGACTTGATTGTTTCCCTTTTCCGTTCTTGATAATAATTTATTATGTGCGTTCTGGTTTAGCTCCACTATTGGTGCTATTGGACCATTGTACAAAAAGGTTTTACCTTCATGAAAATGTTCCAGTAATGCAATTGATGCTGGACATGCAGATTGCAGCCTGGTAACTTACTGTTTACTTATCATAGGTCATCAGACGGATATATATTGGCCCATCATGTGTGGCATAATATTTTGAATGTTAGAACTTATGTCTGACCTCTATGAATTACTGAATTTGTTTACTTCACAAGAATATCCAAATAATCTAGGAGATTTACCGGAAAGTCTACTGAATGCATGGATGGAATTTCAGAGCTTAACTTCTTGTTATAATGTCTATGTATTTAATAAACTTAGTCGTGGGTTTTTCTTCTTTTATAATTTTTTATGTTGTATGGGTGTGGAGGGTTAATACTTTTTGCTTCTATTGAATCTCATTGTTCTGCTTTTAACTCTTCTGCTCAAAACAGATGGAATGTTCCTTATAGAAGTGGATCGATTACTTAAGCCTGGAGGTTACTTCGTTTTAACCTCGCCTGCAACCAAGCCACGTGGAAGTTCACTGAGTATGAAGAAGAGGGGCATGCTAAAACCGATGCAAGAATTCGCCGAAAAAATCTGCTGGACTCTGATGGCCCAGCAAGATGAGACATTCATTTGGCAGAAGACTGTGGATTCTCATTGCCATTTATCTAGGTGAGATAGCAAAAATAATTAGGACTTTTCCATTATTATCTCAGTTTTAGTTTCACTGTTGGATAGGTTCTTGAGTAACTTTCCATATACCTTGTTATCTTGAACTGGCTGTATGTAGAGAGCTTTGCACATTTCTTTCCTCTAAACTTACGGCTTTATGGGGAGAATTATAGTAATTGTTTTCTATTTGTTATTGGATTTAGAAAGCAGGCTATACCACTTTGCCAAGAAGGACCTGATGCTGTAAAATACTATCAGCCCCTCGTGCCATGTATTAGTGGGACAACCAGCAAGCGCTGGATTTCCATTCAGAAGAGATCTGCTGGTTCCCAGTTGAGCTCAGCTGAGCTTGAAGTTCATGGAAAGTATTGTTTCAAGATGATTTTTCCACCTAAATTTTGTTGCAGCTTGTACATCAATTCTTAGTTTACATCTTTCATCCTTGCAGGAGTTAAGCCTGAAGATTTCAGTGAAGACTTACAGGTCTGGAGGATGGCTCTGAAAAATTATTGGTCTTTGCTTACACCCTTGATTTTCTCTGACCATCCTAAGAGGCCTGGCGATGAAGATCCATTACCTCCATTTAACATGATCCGCAATGTAATGGACATGAATGCTCAATATGGAGGTTTAAATGCTGCATTTCAGGAGGAGAAAAAATCTGTGTGGATGATGAATGTTGTGCCTGTCACAGCTCGAGATACACTTTCTCTCATACTTGATAGAGGTTTTGCTGGTGTTTTGCACGATTGGTAAGTTCAGTTTGTAAATTTCGATGTTTATAATCTTGCTTTTAATTCAAACGATTTTTCAGGTTCTTCATGAGTCAGTTTTTTGTTTTTTTTTTATTTATGTTTTAAATTAAATGGTATGTTCTGTTTGAAATAATATTTTAATTTTGAATAATGCTCAGAATATATTGCCTACAGTTTTTTTTTTTTTTTTTTAATGGTGACTTCATCTTTTAATTTATTCTTTCAACTGATAAGAATAGAGGAAAAAACTGATTTTTTAGGAAAAAAATCCTCGTAGAAAAGGGACTTGAAGAAATAAACACAATCTGACTGGTATATGGCTGATGAAAATAATTTTTGATACTTTCTTTGATGTACTGGTCTCAAGTCAGTGGGTGNATAACTCCATATGCAAAGAGGACCACATAAAATTGTAGTGGCAGCTAATTAATGACAAAATTATTACAAAATAACAAGTAAATAAGTCAATAGCGGAAGTAAACCTTCTTGACTGCCCGTTTAATCCATTGGAGTTATAAATGTCAATTTTTGTTAAGAGTGATGCTATGGGTACTAATAGATGGGTACTAATCTGTGTACTAACTAAAGCATAGTACCCGTACTATACGCATAGTACGGGTACTATGCTTTAGTTAGTACACAGATTAGTACTCATCCATTAGTACCCAAAGTATTATTCTTTTGTTAAATATGATTTTTTTTTTTTTTTAAATAGCAAGGGTAGTAGAGTGTAACCGACTTTGTATTATATGCATGGCGTGTCTAGAAGGAAAGATAAGTATTTATTTAAAAATGAGATTAATTAGGTAATTAATATAAAATAATTCCAAAAGTTATTACAGCTATAAATTAATAACGGTGGGACAATATAAATTAGAGTAATACTAAACCAACAACCTTTTCTCATAAACTTTTTCTCGTAATTCTGACGTGACAGCTTACAATTGATTAGTTTCTAATTAATTAATGGGACCATGCAAGACTTATGTGGGATTTGTTATGAACCGACCAATTACGAACTGCCACGTCAAGATTGTGAGAAAAAGCTTGTGAGAAAAAGTTATTGGTGTAGTATTATTTTATAAATTATATTAACTAAAAAAAGGTATTAATTAATCAATAAATCATTAATTTATACTATTCGAGGAACATACGTTTAATCAACTGAAAATTCATTGTATTTTACCATCTAATTAATTAAATATGAATTAATCCACTAAATATACATTAAAGGATTAATTTAAATTCATTGTACTTTTGTACTTAATTAAATAATATTTATTGTATATAAGAAATTCATTATACTTATATACTTAATTAATTAAATAATATCCATGGTATATAATTGCATTAATTTAGTTAAATGTACTCAACAAAAAAATATCCGTGCATAATTTAATTGAATTAAATNGGTTTAATTTATTTTCACAACTACTGTCTCTGCCAAAATTCTTCTTAATTAACTTCACCAATTATCAATTGTCATCAAATCTACTTTGATATATATGGATAAGTCGTGATCAAATGCTTTAGATTGGTTTCTTGCATTGAATTTTTTTTTTTTTTTTTTTTTTGATCTACTAGTGAGTTGAATGTATGCCCTAAAGACACATATTACAACAAACCGACAATATTTACAAAATAATAATAATAAAAGTGTTAAGATTTCCTGAATATTTTATAATCTTCTAATTTTGTCAGTTTTAAAATACTCATAATATTCTTGATATCCTGTAATCTCCTAATTATGTTTATATATTGTGACTGACATAATTAGGAGATTCGATAGATTGTATTTTGTCTATATAAGGCCTAAAACTCTATAATGAAAATCAATAAATTAAAACATCCAACTCTTCAAATAAACATAGAATTAAAGATATAAAAAATTGCACATGGTAGAGCAACCGTCAGAAAATTTACCGGCATGCAAACATTCATCCAATGGCTGTCAATCCGACAAGGAGAAAACGACCACAACCAATCACTCCAAACACCAACCAACACACGCAAACCATCACTGCCATTTCCATCTCAAAACCACCAAATTATCCAATTCTAATCCAAACACCACTGCCATTATCTCATTCTAAAATCAAATCAAATCTAATCGCTGGAAAATTTTCTGGAGAACTATCGTCAATCCAAGAAGGAGAAAACTATTGTAACTCAAACACCAGAATCCAATCAAACCAACCACCCCACCAACTTTGGCCACTGCCAACAACCAAAATACAAACAAAAAAACCCAAAACTCCAAACAAAGTCAGCATCAAGTTCACGCCAAATTCCACCGTCGGTTGATCATGTTGTCGTTGCCGCTGTCGAAAATTTTCAAATCCCAAACTACAAATCGTTCGTTGCTGATGCCCCACAACTGAATCCCAAACCACCAATCCACATTCTTGCCGCCGCTTCAGCCGAGAACAAATAAATCAAACCACCAAGCTAACGTCGTCGCTTCTGATTTGACACCAACGAAGACATTCTTGCTATCGTTCTGTTGTCACCAACACTGAATTGCTGCTATTGAAAGCTAATCGTCTGCTGCTGACTGGCTGCTACTGCCCATCTGCCCTCCGATCTGTTGCTGCCATCTCTAATCTACTTCCAAAACCGATTTGCACCAGAAAAGAGTTGTGAGTTTGCATTTTTAATTCTATTTGTTTTAACTTTAAAAAAAAAAGGTCAAAGTTAAAAAGTTAGAGTCAACGTCAAAGTCAAAAAGTTAGAGTCAATGTCAAAGTCAAAGTCAAAAAGTCAAAAAGAGAGTCAAAAAGTCAAAAGGGGTTAAAAAAAAAATGATGTGCGAAGAAATTATACCAAAACACCTTGTTCCATATTTTATTCAAACTTCAACAATGATAGCTCAGAACGAAAGTCAACATGCACAGATGAAACTTGGCAAGCCCATAACAATAAGAGAAGTTCTATTTTTGTTGTTGTGGAAAAGGAAGACTATGTCAAATAGTCTTCATCATTTGTAGCCACTGCTGGAAATGATGGTAAATCATAACATATATGTATATCTATTTCTAATAGTACATGGATAATTGATTCTAATGTTACCGATCATATGATATTTGATTCTAGATATGTTTCTAACCTTAAAACATCCTCCAAAAAATTTGTTTCTACTGCCAATGGTGAGTCCACCTGAGTCATTGGGGAAGGATCATTAACCCTCAAAAACACTTTCCAATTAGATTATGTGTTAGTTGTTCCATCCCTTAATTATAACTTGTTATCAGTCTTTAAAATAACTAAAGCCTTATCTTGTGTGGTGATTTTTTTGCCTGAATTTTGTGAGTTTAAAAGCATTCAAACAAAGTAGATGATTTGTTGTGTTATTAGATGAGGGCAGTTGTATTATTTGGATTTAGAGTCACGCCATGGTACAGTAGGCTTTGACAGTAGAAAAAGATAAACATAAATCCAACATCTGGTTATGGCATCGACGCCTTGGACATGCTTTATTTGGTTATTTAAAGAAGCTTTTTCCAGGTTTGTTTGAAAAAAATGATATCAGTAACTTCTGTTGTGACATTTGTGAACTATCAAAAAGTCATCGAGTCCTATTTCCAATAACAATAAACAAAAGTCCAAGTCATTTTATGCTTATACATTCGAATGTCTTGGGGCCATCACAAGTTACTACTTTAGGTGGATCCCGTTGGTTTATTACTTTTATTAGTGACTGTACAAGGATGACTTGGGTATGTCTTATAAAATCCAAAGGGGAGGTTAATTTGATATTTCAGAAATTTCACAAAATGGTTCATACGTAGTATAGTGCACAGGTTCAGGTAGTCCAAAGTGACAATGGAGGAGAATATCAAAGTTCGGATTTTCAGTAGTACTTGGTCACACATGATATTATTCATCAGACTACTTGTCTTAACACACCCCAATAAAATGGTGTTGTTGAGCGGAAAAATCGACACTTATTGAAGGTTGTTTGTGCCTCATTAATAGAAACTCACATGCCATTATCTTTGGGAGAAACACTTACTTTAGCAGTCTATCTAATCAATTGAGTACCATCTAGTTTTATTGGGTTCTAGATAAGGTTGCAAACGAACTAAACACGAACGAACACCCCCGCTCGAAAATCATTCGATAAGCACAAAGGGTTGTTCAAAATCGTGTTCGAACTCGTACAAACACAGAATGACCGTTCGAGTTCGTTCGATTAACAAAATGAGCTTTTCGTGATCATTCGACTAATCGTTCAAATACATATTCGAATAAAAAATATACACCAAATTTGGGCTAGGCCAGGTTAGTTTGTTGGTTATTGAGTTTTTATTTTAAATATATATGTGTGTGTGTGTGTGTGTGTAATTGTGTATATACAAAAGTATTATCATACATATATTAATCATATATTAAATACGTTTAATATGTTATTAAATTATCAAAATTATAGGTTATCATATATATATTATCATTACATAGATTATCATAAAAAATTTAAGTGTCTATATATATATATATATATATTTTGCATCAACACCCATAAATTCATAGTGGTATGAGAGTCTATTGTAATATATGAATAATATAAATGTGTGATTAATTAAGCTATTATGTTATTAAATTTGTCATGCTATATATCATTTGATTATACAATATGTTATGTTCATCAATTTATCATACTATATTTATTATTTATTAATTGAAATGTTATCTCATAATATTTAATTATTGATTACATTTGGAAAAATATGAAGCTATTATGTTATTAGATTTGTTACATTATATATCACTTGATTATACAATCTATTATTTTATTAAATTTATTAAGCTATGTATCATAATAATTTATTATTTGTTAATTAAAATGCTATATACTTATATATTTAAATATTGATGACATTTGAAAAAAAAAAATTTCAAACATATTATATATATAAAAAAAAACAAAAGCATCATAATATTTTGTTATTGATTACTATAAAAAAAAAATATCATCCAAACTAAACCAAACATGATATAAAA